GGCGGGGGCGAGGGGGAGAGGGCTAGGGTCACGGACACGGGGCTGATGGACACGCGAGATGGGACGCACGATGCAGGGCTGGGGGACACGGGAAGGAAGGCTGGGGTGATGGGACACAGGGCTGGGGACATGGGACACAGGGCTGGGGACACTGGGCACGGGGTAGGGGATACGGGACAGAAGGCTGGGGTGATGGGACACAGAGCTGAGGTGATGGGACACAGCCCCAGGGACATAGGACACAGCCCCAGGGATATGGGACATGGGACACAGGGCTGGGGATATGGGACACGGGACACACGACTGGGGACACGGGACACAGGGCTGGGGATACGGGACAGAAGGCTGGGGTGATGGGACACAGGGTTGGGAACATGGGACAGAAGGCTGGGGTGATGGGACACATGTCCCCAGGGATATGGGACACAGGACTGGGGACACTGGATACAGGACTGGAGATACGGGACAGAAGGCTGGGGTGAGGGACACAGGGGTGGGGACACTGGATACAGGGTTGGGGCTACAAGACACAAGGCTGGGGACATGGGCTGTAGGAGATGGGATGCACAGTGCAGGGCTGGGGACACGAGGCAGGGGGCTAGGGACATGAGGGACAGCCTGGGACACAGGGTTGGGACACAGGACACAGGGCTGGGGATAAGGGGTTAGGGATACAGCACACAGGGCTGGGGACATGGGACAGACGAACATGGGACATGGGGCCATGGATAGGGGGTATGGGTGACAGGACACACGATGCAGGGCTGGGGACACAAGACACAAGACTGGGGAGATGGACACAGTCCCAGAGACACAAGGTACAAGGCTGGGGACTCGGGACACAGGGCTGGGGACACAGGGCACAAGGTTGGAGACACAGGACAAGGCTGGGAAAGATGGGACGCAGTCCTGGGGACATGAAACACAAGGCTGGGGACAGGCGATGTGGTTGCGGCAGGGCCGTGGGGCAGAGGAGGGGACAGCGCTGGGGACACAGGGCAAGGAGGGGGACACACAGGGGGCAGGGCTGGCTGTGGGGTGGGGAGTGGGGCACTGGGGAGGGGGGGCTGGCCACGGTGGGAGGGAGGTGACGTGAGAGCAGGGGTCCCTGCTGTGACATGCCAGCCCTGCCTGAGGGGGCTCATCGCCCCAACCATCTGCACCTGGGGGTCCCAGACACCCCCGCCCCCTCCCTGCCTGGCATTTAAGACTCCCACCCTCTCCTTGCTTCAGTGGAGCTTTGGCTGGGGGTGGACCTTGCACTCTACTCGTTTGGGTTTTTTGGGTTGACCATCCTCTCCCTACGGATGTGCCTGTGATCCCACAGGGCTGCGCTGGGCTCCAGAGCGGCATGACAGAGACCCTCAGGGTGACAAGCGTTTGAGCGGTGGCCGTGTCCAGAGCAGATGCTGCCTGCACACAGCAGGTGGGGACCGGAGGTGATGCTGAGGACATTGTGCTGGTGGCAGAGGGCTTGTGCTGAACAGGCGCTTTAAGGTCACGGCTCGCCTTTCTGTGACTCAGTGGCCAAACCAGATCTGCAGGTGGCTGCCTGCATGAACTGCCACCAGAGCAGAACCTCTCCTGCTGGGGGGAAGGTGGAAGTGAGCCGTGCCAGCTGGATGTGGGGGAGCGGGAGGTGTCTGGCTACGAGGGACGGTGCCCCCAAGAGGGAATGTAATTTTCTTACCCAAATCTGCTGGATTTGAGTTTTTGAGGTAAATTCCCGGTAAAATATTGCCTTATCTTTCAGCAGGAGGGGAAAGCTGGAGAGATGTGTTTCATATCCCACGCTTTTCCCCCTTCGGGGGCATCTCCACACAAAGCTTTGGCACGGGTGGGCTGGAGAGATGGTGGCAGCTGGGATAACGTTTGCAGCCCTTATTTGGACTGGGCTCTGGGGAAGAGCCACAGTTTCCCAGCAGCGCTGAACCCCAGCACGGAATCTCACAGCCAGAAAACAGTGGGTTTTAAATTTTGGTCTCCCTGCGACTAAACTGGGGGAGAAAATCCAGTGGGCTCTGGGGGGTGTGTGTGTGTGTGTGTGTGCTTTTTTCTGCCTTGGCCTGTCCCACCTGAAACCCAAATCAAAGCCCCCCAGTCCTTCAGCCCAGCTGGTACTTGTGGCTCCTCTGCTGACGCTCTCTCCTCTCTCTCCTGTTTTCCTGCAGGAATTTCTGCTCCACCATCAGCTCTGCGCTGAGAGGAAACACCGGGCTGCCTTGCACAAGAAGGGGAAGTTGTGAACAAAATCCCTGGGGAGTCTCACGGGAGGGGGGGGGAGGGGCTGGCTGGGAAGCGCGGTCACGTCTGAAGCTCCCCAGGAGAACGGCTGGTGAGTGGAGGACCCTGTGGGAGGGGAGCCGAGCAGGAGCGGCCTGGGGGGGGGGGGGGG